GTAACACGTGGTGGTGAATTACCAGAAGGTGCTACAGAAAGTGGAAATGAAGACAATGATCATGATGTAATTGTTGGAAAAAATAAAAAATATGATCCACATCGAGCACTTAATATTGACTTAAGTGAAAAACCTATTCAATCGATTCCTACATCACCACCACCGTTGACATCTCAATTAAAAGAACCAGTTCCTAAACAAGTTGAAACACCTCCTATATTAACTGGAAAACCAAAAAGATCTAAGAAAAAGAAAATAATTGAAAAACAAGAACAATCATCAACATCGAAATCTAAACACAAACGAGAAAGTAGTGATTATAAAGGGTTATTATCACCAGCTGATGAGGAAGAAAATTGTCCAAATTCAACACCTCCTCTTCCTGCTATTGCAAAAAAACCAAAGAAAAAAAAATCATCATCAGAAACAACAACAACAGTAGATACAAATACTTCTGCACCACTTCTATCGGACATTATGACGGATGATATTCATCTAACAAATCGATCTGAGTAACAATACAATGAACAAGATACTTATAAACTAGTTGCTCAATCTGACAATTTGACAATTGTAAGCTCAATATCGATAGACTCTATTGAAATTAGAGAAAATCTATGTGAATTCGTATTTACTGATCTTTCTTCTTGAATGATGTCTATTGTATTAAGTTTTCAGCACAGTGCTATAGTTCCGTCCGATTTCAATCTAAAAAAAAAGCTAACTTTGTCCATTTTTTACTCATATCCACGTTGGAGATATCACTTTTTTTTTAATACTTTTGTAGTTTCGGCATTCTGTTTTTTTGTACATATTTAAACAATCTGTTATAAAGTTTGATATATTATTTATTTTTAGGAATACTCAATTAATCCAGATTCATCAATAGCTCAACTTGATGTAACATTTCTTTTAAAAAATCGAACATCATTTATTATTGATCATATTAATATTCATTGTATTGATAGTATGAGTTCGAAATTATTAAATACAACAAGTACAAATTTAATATCATTTCCATTTATAAGTATTTTTCCTCATTTACAAAATTATATTCATATTTATTTTTCAATAAATGCTATATCATTTTCTCAAAAATTAAAAACAACATTAACTTATTCTATAAATGTATGTTGAAAAAAAATAGAAAATAAAAAAAATCAGATTTTTTTATCATTATTTTTGATAAATATATTTAGAAATCAAATACAATTGAAGCAGATAGAATTGAATTTAAACTTAATTTACCTTGTTCACAATATTTACGACGAAAGACTATTGACTCGTAAGAATAGATTTTTTTAGTAAATTATTTAATATATATATTTTTTTTGAGGTATTGTATTTGCTGATTTGATGAGTTCGAGTGTATTGATATGTCAATCACAACTTCGTATTTCATCATCTAATCAAGACTTTCTATTGATGATTAATACAATTTGTCAATCTTATCGATTAACTGGTTAGAAAAAGAATTTAAATAAATCGTTTTTTTTATATTTAAGTTTTTAATTTAGTTGTCGAAAAAATTAATTCGGCTGCATCTTTATATGCTGAAACAATTCTTGAACAACCAATAGCTCTCTTATTTAAATCAATAGTATGTATATTTTGAGATTTTCATTAATAACCAAACTAAATAATTTTTATTTATTTAGTTCTAATCTCATGGAAGAAATAAAAACATCATTAAAATAATTTGTTTTTCTTTTCTCTCTTTCCTTATTTCATTTATTTGTAGTTTTATTTTTATTTTTATTCCATAGACAATATCTATATATAAAGCGAAAAGAAAAATAACAACTGACAAACAGTGATCTTTTATTTTGTTGCATCTATTATCTTTATTTACAAAAAAAAATCTCTCTTATGTATCAGATAATAAGTATATTTGATCTTCTGACATATAGAAAAATATGTTCTTTGTTTTGTTTTATTCTGAATGATTATAGTCAATTCTCATGTGTATGCATATTATCTGTTTTTTGTTTTTTTAATTTGCTATAATTCGAACATTATATATATACATATTTATAAAATGAGAAAAATTAATGATAAACTATTTAATCATTCTCGATTGGTTTCAAATGATTAGAAGAAAGAAATTTTTCTTTTTCATGAAACTTATTAAATTTCCAAGTGAAATAAGTACTGATGAGCTGGATCAACCGTTAATTGTCTTGATCTTGGATAGAAAAAGTTTTTTAGTTCTGAGTCCGACAACTCTATTGTTTACGAAAAGAAAATGGATTATTTTACTATGAAAATTAGAACAGCAAATATTGATGTGATCGTTACTCAATAATTATCGTATAAACTTAGAATACATGAGCCGCAACAACATGACATGTGATGCAAGTTTTACATGACTATAAAAGATATCACTCACAATGGAAAAAAATTGTTGTGCCTGACTCCAGTCCCATATCTAGAAATGCGGTAAAGAGTAGAATCCGTCAGGTTGGTCTTCAATACTTTACTTAATTTTGCATTATCATCTCAAATATCGATATAATCTGGAAAAGTCAAATCCAATAAATAACTTGTTTTTACTGAAAAATCACTGTGACAGACTCTTATTCTGTAAGGTATCCTAGGAGGTTTTCAGTATATCTTTACTATTTTATTGAATTTTATCAACTAATTCTTTTCATGATAGGCTCATACACTGAGTTTTTAATTACACGAAAAAATTTCAAAAGCACCCTTCAAAGCTATTATTTTTAACCTAAATGCAAAAATTTAGCTGGGTGTGGGTGTTAATGAAAAGGAGATCGACATCCACCTACACCCACACCCCAAACCCGCACTCACACCCATACCCAGTAATAAAAAGCTCTTGATGAGATGCAATCACATCGAAAGGAAGAAGTGAAGAAAGAAAAATGAAATCTTACTTTTCTTTAGCAGTCGTTTATTTACATATTTTATCTTCACATTGTCACTAACTGTACAGACACAAACTCAGGAAGAAAAAAAATCGATGGCAATAATAATAAAAATTCTCTGCAGTGTATTTGTTTTATTGGCTCGTTCATTGATAATGTACTTTTTTTGTTGATCTTGCTTGTTTGTCGTAGTTGCATTTTCAGAAGAAACCCGACAGAATCATGCAATCAACCTTACGGCCATTTTTTTTGTTCGCGGAACAAAGTTCTGTGTTTGTGCAAAGACATGCGACCATGCACTACAATGATGGTGTTTTGTTTTTGTTACTTTTGAGTTAAGAAAAACAGCAGTCATGTTTTAAATATCTCTACCGATTTCAGTTAAAAAAATACCAGCGATACTTTTCATTATTTGTCAACTGTATGCAAATATAGATGACTCTCTTTCGCATGCATGCAAAAACAGAATTTGTTGATAGATGAGTTTTTTAATCATATTTTGCGCCCAAAATATTCCACGTTTTCACTGTGTTATATAGAATAGATGTTGATAGTATCAATGATTTAACATCAGTTTCTATAGAGAAACATGTTTCCTAATACGTTTTTCCGTTGAAATACATTTACTATCAATATAATTTTAGTTATGCACTTATGTAATGATGTAAAATTAAAATTGAATGAATCCTCAATAGGGTGGGGTGTGGGTGCATGAGTTATATGGATCTAATATGTATCTTTTCAATTTGGTCTAATTACTATTTATTCATATACACCTATTATTGCAGATAAAAAATGTCAGTACGTATACTTCCTCATTCATTCAGAACAAGATTAATTGTTTCGAAAATGATATCAACTGTTTGACAACAATGAATGAGTTGAAACTAGGACTTTCGACTAAACTTGCGAAAAATTTATCTTGCAGATCGAATTGCAAAGGTTACATTATGAAAAGTTCTCGAAAAGAAGTTCTGATCTTTATAAGATTATGATTTCAAGATAATGGATGATTTTGATTGATGCATAATATTTCATCAGAAGTTTATTTTAAAATAACATACATTGTAAAGTTTAGATGAAATTATTGTTGATTTGTATCTTTACAATCAACCGTTTTTTTCAGTATCTCCAAAACAATACGAAAATCACAGCTCAATACCTCACAAACAACAATTATGATATTTGTGCATGCTCAGACTAATCGTTTTTGGTATTTTTTCACCCACAATCACGATGAGAGAAAAACTGATTCAGCAACTATAACGTGTGATACATGTCTTCAATGACGAAGCACGATGTGAGCAGCTTTCTTTGCTTGAATCACTTGTTACCTAACAGCAATATATTGAGCATGTAAACAACGTTGTTCGATGGTTAGTTCAAAAAAAAAGTCGAATCGAATTTTCTTGTCATTTTGTTCACATTATTATCATGTCGATCACAGACAGAAAGAAAATAATCGAATTAACAATGTCTGTGTTGATTTTTTTTTCGTTCTTGTCAGAAAGCGAAAAACTTCGCTTTGAAAGAATCAAAGAAAACTAAACAATGTATGAAACAACGTATCGAATGTAATAGTACTTAAGTCATTGTACAGATGAAAAGTAAACGAAAGTTGGAAAGAATAACAATAGAATAAATGATGCTGTTAGATTTTTTTCTCTTTTGTTTACTGTTAATAAGCCTATTTTCAATTCAAACAAGGTGGAGTTTATCGTTGAGTGTCAACAAAAAATTAACCATATTTTACGTCGGAGCAATATCTAGAAAAAAAATAAAAGGCAATAACGACTATAGGGCATAAGGTTGTCTTTGCAGCTTCTCTTCACTCACACGCAAATTTCAGATATATCATTTGACACAGATCAATATTTCAGCTGGTGTAACTGAATTTCAAATTGTTGTCTACTTAAATTTAACTTAGAGAAATTAAATGTTCTTGCCAATGGCCTCATGATGCAAAACAGTTTCTAATGTCGAGAAAGTATGACTCTTACAAATATTCAATAGTTATCTATTTTGTGGATTGATTTTATGGCATATGTAGTCTTCTCAATCACCTCTTTGTCTAGAGTTGTTTGTAGAGCTTCAAAGACTTCAATAGTTCATGAAGATCTTCTCTTCAGAAGACAGTGTTCATATTTCATTTAAAAATAATGCTTTGTTTTAGTTTCACTGATGTTAGTAAAGAACGTTGTAACTATACCTAAATGGTATTTCATGACATCTTCCAGTGTTTAGAGATTTTTCGTAAAAACAATGATAAATTTCGAGCATGAATACTCTTTGTCTGTTATGATGAAACTTTCTGTCGTAAAATCCCATGTTGGTATCCTGTTGCCTTCGAATCTTAAACAAAACAACTGAATACTATGTTGTTCATGACTTTATTTTGTTAATTTCGGAATAATTATCGACTTCGTCTAGCTCTACTGATGTACCCGAATGGTAACATAAGCTGATTTAAATATGAAGTCAGTCTGTTATGCAAATCTAGAGATTTATTCCAAATTCAAGTTTTAGTAATATCTTTCTTTCATTTCTTATCAATATTTTCTCCACCATCATTGTCTTCCTTTTATAATGTAAACATTTTTGCAAGCTAATAAAACTTCCGAAAAGCCTCTATTTACACCATGACAAATTTTAAAACATTCGTATCACAATGAGAAAAAAGTTGAACGCCCTAGAGAACTGATTCTTGAATATTCATTCGATTTTAACGATCTTTTGAACATGAACGTAATCATATTTAGTATATACATTTCAGCAAGGTAATTGGTGTCATAACAATAACCGTGGAAAGAGACGAAATAAACATAATGTAATGAACAGCATTGAATTGATTTTTAAGACATTTCGATTGATTCAAACTCGTCAACACGATAGAAGAACACAGAGAGACAGTCGCAAAGAGGTAAAGAAAGAAAAAATGCAATATTACCTTTTTTAGCAGTCCTTTGTTTACATATTCTACTTTCACATTTTCACTCACTGTACAGACATGAATGAAAGAAGAAAAAACATCGATGGCAACAATAACAAAACTGCATTAATGTATGTTTTTATTTCGTTGGCGCGTTCGTTATTAATGTACTTTTTTGTTGTTGATCTTTCTTGTTTGTCATAGTTACATTTTCAGAAGAAACCCAACAGAATCATGCAATCAATGTTACTATCGATTTCTGTATTCGCGGAACAAACTTCTTCGTTTGTGCAACGACATGCCACATGCGCTACAATGACGACGTTCTTTTTTAGTTATGTGTTCAATATTACTGTCGATTTTAGTTAAAAAAAATGCCTACGATACTTTTTATTATTTGTTAGTCGTATGCATCCAAAATAGATGTTTCATAATATGTTTTGTATCGAAATAGATTTATTATAGATAGAATTTTAGTGATAAACGTATACATAGGGCAGGAGTTTTCTCGTTGTCATTTCTACGCATATTAAAATTGTGTGAGCCTCAAATGTGAACATACACAATTTGAATATTATTTCTTTATGAATGGTATAGAGATTAATGAAAGTTCAGCAGTTAGAATACCAAAAGAAAACAAAATTTCTCCTTATTAAACACATATTTCGAAAGAATATAAAATAAATCAAAAATCATTTTAGCAAGATTGTGAGTGATATTATATTCATACTACAAGTCTCGCTCATATACTCTCACGACGACATTAGTCACACTGAAAAACATGTATATAGCAGTACTTGTCTAATACGAGATCGAATGTAAACAAAACTATCGTATTCACATATGGCATCAGCAGCCAAAAATAAATAATAAATTCTTTCTCACTTATAATTTTAAGTCAAACAATGACTATCTTATTAAACTAGCAAAGAAACTAAAGGCTAATTATATTTTGAATATTAATGCAAATTTGAATTAGAACTGTCTAGTACACCATACGACTAAATTATCTGTACGAAAAGTCATTATGGAACTGTTTCATTCATTTTTGAATTTTCATAATACGCACTTCAATATTCAACTATATTCGAATTTCAATTAGAAAAACTCGCAATAGTGTTCATTATAACCATAAAGAAAATAAATCGAACTGATGATGTCGTTGTTGTTTTTTTTGTTCTTGCCAGCAAGAGAAAAAAAAATCGCTCTCAGAAGACCAAAGAAAAATAAACAATGTATGAAACAAGGTATCCAACGCAATGACACTGACATCACGGTATAGATGAAAAACAAACGAAAGTTGGAAAGAATAACCAGAAAATAAATGACGTTGTTGTATTTTTTCTCTTTCATTTGTTATTGACAATTATATTTTTAATTGAAACTGAATATGTGAAGTTTGTTGTTTAGTGTCAACGGAAAAAAAACAACACTCACATTTAATATCGTAGTAAAATTTAGAAGAAGAACACAAGGCAATGACTATACGGTATTGATCATGAAAGTAAATGTTGGCAATTAATGCATCGATCTTTCTATACTTAGAACATTGAATAGAGACTTCTGTAGTTGTCATTTAGTTTGTAAAGTTATTTTGTAGCCACAAAGCCTAGCTCTCGCATTGAGGCAGTTGATTCCAATCTTCATCAATCTATCCATTAATATATTCTAAAAGACACGATAATCATTCTAAGTCATCTTTGAAATATAAACATCTATTACGGGTTATTAACTTTTCATTAATCAATAGTCATGAAAATGTAGTCTGTCACATTATGGCAAATGTTCTTGTCAATGACGTTATAATAAAAAATGATATTTAATTAGTATCGAGAAAGTGTGACTCTTACAAATCTTTCATGGTTTTCTGTCTTGTGGATCCATCTTACGACATACCTGATCTTCTCGATGGCAATCTTGTCTAGAAATAATTTTAGAACTTCAAAAGCTCTAATACTACATGAAGATCTTCTTGATAATACCTAAATGATATTTCATGACATCTTCTAGTATTTAGGATTCTTTGCTTAAAAACAATAATGAATTCCGTGCATCAATACGTTATGCCTGTTATCATTGTTGGTTATGATGAATATTCGCATATGAAGTCTGTTTCAGGTTTGGTTTTACAGATGTTTCCGAGCAGCAGCATAAGCCGATTGAAATATGAAATCTATTTGTCATATTTATCTAGAGATGTAAGCAGATCACCCGCAGCGCCGTCAATATAGTAATCAACCAAAAAACTAAGTACTCGACTTTTGAAATTCCTCTATCTCCAGTTCTAGTTTCGGCAAGATCTTTCTCTCGTTTCTTAGCAATCTGTCTTACATCATCCTATTCTTCAATTTTCCAAATCAAGAAGACTTCTTCTCACATAGAAAAAAAGTGAATGCTCTAGCGAACTGACTCTTCAGCATTCATTCGATTTTAACGATCTTTTCAATATGATGTTTATCATACTTCGTCTATACGTTTTTCGCTACATTAGATACTTGTGAATCAAGAACCATGAAAAAAAAAATGGAATGAATATAATGCAACGAACAGTATCGAATTGAATTTTAAGGTCTTTCGATCGATTCAAACTCGTCAACATGATAGAAGAACATAGACAGCCAGTCGTAAAAAGCTTTCGATGAGATGTCAACACATTACAAGAAAGAAGCGAATAAAGAAAAATGCAGTCTTACTTTTCTTCACCTCTCCTTTGTTTACATATTCTATCCTCGCAAATGATGGTATCAATAATAAAACTGCATTAATGTATGTTTTTGTTTTGTTGGCTCGTTCTTTGTTAATCTATATTTGTTTGTTGATCTTTCTTGTTTGTCATAGTTACATTTTCAGAAGAAACCTAACAGAATCATGAAATCAATGTTACGGTCAATTTTGTTTCTATTTGCGGAACAAGGTTCTGTGTTTGTGCAAAGACATGTGACATGCACAACAATCATAGTGTTTTTTTTACTTATATCTTCAATATTACTGTCGATTTTAGTTAAAAAAATAACTGCAATAATATTCATTATCTGTTAGCTGTATGCAAACATAGATAACTCTTCTAATAGACATTTTCTCGTTGTCATTGTGATGCACGCTAAAATTGTGAACAAACACAATTTGAATATTATTTCTTGATGAATCATATAAAGATTAATGAAAGATCAGCAGTTAGAATATCAAAAGAAAGCAAAGTTTCTTTTTATTTTACACATATTCCAAATGAATGTAAGATACATCAAAAATCATTTTAGCAAGAGTGTGAATGATGATATATTCATTCTTCTAGTCTCACTTGCACACCCTCAGAATGTCATTTACCTCATTGAAGAATGTGTCCAGATGTGTCCAGAATTCAATAACCTGTTGAAATTTAGGTAACAGATCAATCCTAATGTTTCAAACAAAATTGACAACATCATGGTTTGTTTACCCACAAATTGTAGACAATTACAGTGCTGTCTCGAATATGAGTGTGGCTGTGAGTGTCGAAAGAACCAAAGCCTACACCTATATCTTTCTGAAAATTTCTTAGGTTTCGTGAATTCCGAGAGTTTCGTGAGTGGAATTGCACTTTTGAGTGTTCCAGGAGTTTAGAACTCACGGAATCCGACTAATGCTGCTAAATAATGAATAATTTTATTCGGAATATTGATTCGAATTTGAATTAGAACTGTTTAGGACAGGGTATGGCTAAATTTATTGTATGTGACAAGGATAAAAATGGTTGTTCAACTATTGCTCCAATCAATATTGAATTTACTTTTCTTGTTGCTTTTTTCACATTATCAGCGTGTTAATCATATGCATTATGAAAAAAATAAACCAGATGATGTCATTTTTGTTTTTTTTCGTTCTTGACAGAATGACAAAAGTCTTTTTTCTTCAAAAAGAATCGGTGAAAAAGTAAACAATCAACGCGACATGGTATCCAACACATTGGTTTTTAAGTGATTCTTATGTAGACGAAAAACAAACGAAAGTTGGAAAGAATAACAATGGAATAAATGACGTTGTTAAATTGTTTCTCTTTCATTTGTTGTTGACAACCATATTTTCAATTGCAACTAGGTGAAATTTGTCCTTGAGTGTCAACGAAAAAAATAATACATCTATATTTGACGTCGTAGAAAAATCTAGAAGAAGAACAGACGACATCGAATATATAAATAGAACAGGTAGTCTCTGTCCAAACAACAATCTATCATTGAAAATACTCAATTGTCAATCAAACGCCAAAACATGGCATCAAGAATGAGTGAACGCCGAAGACAACGAATGGCTGAAAATTACCTGGTCATCTGGGTCGACGGTAATACCAACATGGCAAATGAAGATTGCCAGAATACACTCGCACAATTGCGCGGTGTTGTTAATGAAGTCAATCCATGCACCACGGCCGAACAATGTATCCAGAAGCTCCAGGAAAACAATGAGGAGACGTCATTTGTCATCTCCTCAGGTGCATTAGGACAACACATGGTACCAGAAATTCATGGCATGCCAAAACTGGATGCCATATATATCTTTTGTAGCAACATGCAACGTCACCAAGAATGGGCTAAAAATTGGCCCAAAATTAAAGGTGTGCATACATCTATCAAGCACATCTGTGAAAAATTGGCACTAGCTGTCGAACAATGCAATCAAGATCAGGTAACGGTTAGTATTATCAGTGTCAATGAAGGAGGTTCTAGCGAAAATCTCAATCAGCTAGAGCCTTCCTTCATGTATACACAAATATTCAAGGAAATACTCCTTGATATGGAACATGGCCAAAAAGCCGTTAAAGACTTGGTCACATATTGCCAAGAACAATACAAAGGCAATACCAAAGAACTCAAGTTAATCAATGAATTTCAACGTGATTACCATCCAATGTTGGCGTTATGGTGGTATACACGCCAATGCTTCACATACAAAATGCTCAATCGAGCATTAAGAACATTGGATGGCGACATTATCATCCGAATGGGATTTTTCCTGTGTGATGTTCATCGACAAATTGAAGAATTACACAACCAACAGGTCAGTCAGTATCATGGAAAGTCCTTTCTAGTTTATAGGGGTCAAGGATTATCGACAAGTGACTTCGAAAAACTTGCAAAAAACAAAGGTGGTCTAATATCTTTCAACAACTTTTTATCCACCAGTACAAAACGAGATGTTTCCCTCCGCTTCGCCAAAGGTACCTTAGGAACAACCGAAATGGTCGGTATCCTTTTTCAAATGACCATCGATCCCACAATCTCATCGACTCCTTTCGCCTCCATCCAGGAGGTGAGTTATTACAAGGACGAAGAGGAAATTCTCTTCTCGATGCACACCGTTTTTCGAATTGATGAAGTTCGAAAACTGGACAAGAAAAGTCCACTTTATCAAGTGGACCTCAAACTTACGTCTGATGATGATCAACAACTTCGCCAATTAACCGACCGTATACGAGAAGAATCTTCAGGTAGCACTGGATGGTATCGAATGGGTCAATTGCTGCTCAAAATTGGTCAATTTGACAAGGCCGAAGAATTGTACATGGCACTACTAGAACAAGCATCTGATGACAGCGATAGAGCACATATCTATCATATGCGTGGAATGATGAAAAATAACAAAGGGCAATATACAGAAGCAGCTTCATTTTATGAAATGTCTCTTAAAATTAAACAAAAAACTCTTCCAGAAGATCATCCTTCATTAGCTCCTACATATAGCAACATCGGTTTGGTGTATAACAACATGGGTGACTACTCGAAAGCACTTGAATTTTACGAAAAATCACATAACATAAAAGAAAAAGCTCTGCCTTCGAATCATCCCGATTTGGCTACTTCCTACGCTTGCATCGGTCTAGTGTATAACAACATGGGTGACTACTCGAAAGCACTTGAATTTAACGAAAAAGCACTTAAAATAAGAGAAAAAGCTCTGCCTCCGAATCATCCCTCATTGGCTACTTCCTACGGCAACATCGGTGGAGTGTATCACAACATGGGTGACTACTCGAAAGCACTTGAATTTTACGAAAAAGATCTCGAAATCACGAAAAAAGCTCTGCCTCCGAATCATCCCTCACTGGCTGCTTCTTACAACAACATTGGTGTAGTGTATGACAGCATGGATGACTACTCAAAAGCACTTGAATTTTACGAAAAAGCACATCAAATCTTCGAAAAAGCTCTGCCTCCGAATCATCCCTCATTGGCTACTTCCTACAACAACATCGGTTTCGTGTATGACAACATGGGTGACTACTCAAAAGCACTTGAATTTTACGAAAAATCACTTAAAATCAGAGAAAAAGCTCTGCCTCCGAATCATCCCGAATTGGCTACTTCCTACAACAACATCGGTACGGCGTATTCCGGCAAAGAAGACTACTCAAAAGCACTCTCATTCTTAGAAAAGGCACTTTCTATCTTGCAAAAATCACTTCCACCTAGCCATCCTTATATTATAATGGCCACAAACTCAATTGACAATGTAAAAAAGAAAATGTAACTGTAATTTTTTCTTTTCGCTTGCTCAATAAATTTATTCACATTGCTAATCATTTCGATTTTTCTCGGCTCATTTTGACTTACCCGCGCGCGCGCGACAAGGGAGAGATCCCTTGTCAATGCCATAGGTACCACAGGCGGACCACGCCGGACTGGTAGGGCAATGGCCGAAGGTATGGCCGTATGAACGGTAGGGACCAACGACACATAGAGGTCTTCCCTATTATTACACTGCTTCGCTATGGCACGAAAGTTCCTGTCCCTATTGAATCAGACAACGTAGTTCTCTGACCCACACTAATAACACTCATAACTCAACTCAACTCATCTCAAAAGTACTCATACTCATAATAACTGATAGTATTTATTTTTTCTCAAAATAACTTATCTCAACTCAACTCAACTGAATATGTAAAAAAATTTTTTTTTCTTACTTCTCAATATTGTATAGTATCGAAACTCATCTAAAAAAGAATAAAAAAAAAAGTTTTATTAAATATATAATGAATTTATTATTTACCTCGTATAGAATTTAATAATATAATTATCATTGTAAATAATATAATAGTAATAATAAATAATAATCCCGGGTATATAAATACATTGTAATGCATTATAATAATACAACTCGAGTGTATACTGTTTCATAATGATGTGTACATGTTTTTATATACCCTGAGATTAATTGACCGATGTTCAAAATTTTGATTGATTTTTTATCAATCATTCCATTTCTGTTTTAATTGATTTGATGATTTTTTTTCTCGTCTGACATACATCTATATAATGTCATCGTCGACGAAAAAAATTTTTCATGTTACATATATATAGGGTGTTGTCTTTCTCTTTCACATTGCTCGTCTTCGAATAAGAATACAAGACAAGAGAATTCATCAACTCGAGTAACTTAAAAAATAGGTGTGTTTTGTTTTTACAAAATGTGATCTTTATTTTGAGAATGTCTAAATTATATAGAATAAGATAGCGTTTGTCTCTCTACTGAACAATATATTTTTTATTGGACGTCTTCATTATCTTCAATATATATGTATTTGAGACATTTCTGAGAAATTTTTGCGTGAACTTTTTTCACGTATAGTTTTTCGACTTTTCTGTACCGAAATGTTGGTTGTGCAAAAATTGAAATTTCTACACATTTAAGATTGATGAATTTCTTTCATTTCAAGTGATTTTCATCGTTATTGAATTTTATTTTCATTGGAATATAGTGCTTCTCAGGATTTACCTAATTTTTGTCCAAAATGTATCAACTTGTACATAACAAACTATGAATGATGTGTATTCACTTATATTGTCATATTATCGATATATAGTAATGAATATATAAACAGCTATGAATTCATCACAAAACAGTCTCCTGATGATAGAATATATCATATTTGTACTCTTTAAATTTTCAAGATTTATCGATGAAAACAAAATTCATCATTATAAACATTTTGAACAAACAACTGTAATGTAACAGTAATATTATTGCTAGATTTTTATACGAAACTGTATATCAGACAAAGTATTAGTACCAAAAAGGGGCATTTTTCGTTTAGATGTAATGAACGTTATTGCCTTTACATGTTACACTTTCTTAATTGAATTATTAATGAGTATTTTGACATTGTAGAAATGAAAGTGGTAACTGTTTTTAGTTACCTGACAAAGTACTCTCTATGAAGTAATGTCATTTAATTAGAATGAAATGAAGTATTTTCTAAGAGAGACAATAATGATAGCAGTAGAGCATTTAATGAATGTCTTCATGCATTTCTCATTATATTTCTCTTGTATAAAAATTATTCGACAGATACAACAATTTCATTTTGTTTTCAGTGTAGATATTTAAGTTTCTATAAAAAATTCGATGTTGGTTTTTTATTAGAAAATGATTAAACTATAGTTGCTTCAGAAATTGTATATTTTGTTTTTATTCAGATCTCCCATCATACAGTTGTTGGTGTATTCTATATTTCGATTATAGGTGTAGAGTGAGGCGTTACACTAAAAAAAAAAGAAAACATGCTGAATAACTTATTGGAATATTTTTTCGTTAAGGATAAATTCATATTCTGACGAATATTCGTTTTCTATGATTTTCTAAAGATAATTGATATTTTTTTCGAGTATTTGTGAGATATAGAGTTTTATTGTGAGTTCATTGAAAAATATTTCAGAATTTTCATAAATAAAATTATGTATAGATTAATTATATGAGTCTATAAAAGAAATCTCAGTAGTAATAATAAATAAATTAATGAATCACATTTTTTTTTCTCATTAGACATATATACATGGTTTTTTGTTATGCTTGAAAGTATAAGTGAATCTATGAGACATAGAAGAGATTCAAAGAAAATTGCAAACCTCTTTCGAGTAAATGATATCGTCCTTATAATTTTGATGAGAAATTTCTACTAATAAAAAGGCTTTTAATAAAAGATTTTTTGTAAAGTTAAACAACGAGTCTTTTGATAAAGTCCACAAATAGACGAATTCTTTATCAGTATTTCAGTGAATGTTGTTTTAATATTAATCTCTTTATATATCTTGTTGAGTCTGACACTACACTGTTGTTCTTCAACATGAATATAGACAATTTATTAGTAACAAAAATATCAGTTTGAATAAAAGATTCTAGTTGTTTTGCTTTTTACTTATGAAATAGGAACAATGTCTGATCTTTTTACTGTTAGAAAAGAATAATTGAGAAAGTTCGTTTACAGGAAAAAATACATTTCGATTAGAGATTTAAAACTGGTAATTTTTGTATAATTATGACCTGATAAATACTGTTGAAAGTTGTGCGTGTAGATTTTTTTTGAGAATGAATCGAATGAATCATTTATTGCTTTTGCTTTTTTTTTTTAACATATATATTTATTGTGCCATACAAGTGTTTTGGTTCACAATATGTTTAAGGAGGTAAAAGAAAAAAAATAAGTAACATAAAAATGAGAAAGAAGAGAAAGAGAACACGAAAAGTAAATATGAAAAGTAAGCGAAAAGTGAGATTACAATGCCTAGAGAAAACATTTCTGGCTACATGTAGAGAAAGAAAGAAAGAAACAAATCAAATCTCAGGGGAGGATGATAGAAAAAATTTAAAAACAAATGTGTTCAATACATTTGTGGAAGTTCTAAAGCAGTCATATTGTTTAATATGGACACAATCGAATGCAGCCCATTCCATGAGGCAGTTCTTCACTTGCCTAACTAATCTGTTATAGAATCTACTGTTTATTCTAAACCCCAGTTCCCTCGTCCAGCATTTATTTACATCCGTTAATAACAGATAGGCGTTCAGACTTTGTTGAAATGCAAGAGCATCAGGTGATGACATCAAGTGACACACAAATTTCCTCCAATATACAAAAAGAAAATCATATATAGATTTCTCTCTCGTTATAACTAATGTTGTAAGATCATCCCAATTATACACTCCATAAACAATTCTCAGTCCGGTACAAAATTTATGTTCAATCTTCTCTTTCTGATTCTCCGTAAAGAAGAACCAGGTTGTAAAGAGCCATATATAATGCGGGAGTGCATACGCATAAAAAATTTTCTTGCGAATTTTTATTTCTTTCTTATTAATAGTTTTAAAGATTATCCTCATTGCATTATGAACTTTGGTGATGGTCTTTAATCTTTCGTTGATGTATTTATCCCAACCTAATTTAACTGAGATATATACTCCCAGATATTTAAATCTATCAACAAATTTTATTTCCTGCGAGTTAAACCACAATCTAGGATAAGGAGGTGCAACAACACTGTGAATAAGTACAGCCTTAGTTTTAGCAACATTGACCGGTAGAATTATATCCCTCGAAAAATAGTCAAGTTGTTTAAGGACACTAGCTGCTCTTTGCTCTAATTCGATCACGTTCCGAGAAAATTTTTTCTCCAGAGAGCCACTGAGAATCAGTGCTAAATCATCAGCAAATAAATGTATTACTATATTGTCGAAGTAAGAAGTAATAAAGTGCATGTGCAGCCGAAATAGAGTCGCCGCAATTACTGAACCCTGGGGCGCACCTTTCTTCATCACAACTAATCGCGATTCCTGATCACCATGACAAATATAAAGAGATCTATCTCTCAACCAGTTAAAGAGCCACTTTAATAGTTGGAGCGGCATGTGTAATTTCTGTAAGTTCATTATGAGGTGGGGTATCCACATATTGTCGAATGCAGACATAAAATCAATGAATATTGCTACTGCTGGTCTGTTATTAGCTGCAACCGTAAGTCTCAGCTCCTCGATGAGCGAGATGATTCGGGTCTGAAGTCTCCTACCAGGTGAGAAACCCGATTGTTCATCAATGTAAACATTCATACTCTTACACCAGCTAAGAATACGGTTATGTATAATCCTCTCTAAACATTTGCCTAGATTGGGCAACAATGAGATGGGTCTTAGTTTCTCCGGTGAAGGGTATAGTCCTTCTTTTGAAAGACAGACCACCTTTGCATGTTTAGCAGCTGAGAAAAATTCACCCTTCGATGCACATTTATTAAATAAAATCGTGATAATGTTAACATATGCCTCAGGTAGATTTTTCAATAGAAAGGCAGAGGTACCGATACTATCTGTAGATTTCTTCGGAGAGAATCTTTTCCATACGGCACTAACTTCATTAATCGAAATATTATCTAGTGGAATATTAGGCACAAAACCTAATTGTTCGTAAGACAATATACATTTTTGATGTACTATATTATTCTCATCATGTTGTGGTTCAGCAAAGTGTTTCTCATAATGATTCGCAAGCGTATTAACTATCGTCTCAGGATCATGAATTATTCTATCTAAAACTTTAAGACCACAAAAAGGTGGTGAATATGAGTGGAAAATTGGAGTTGTAATTTTCCAAATATTTTGATCCTTCTTTATCCATTCCATTTTCTTTTCATATTTTTGTTTCGTCAGTTCGGAACGTTCTGCATAAAAAATTTTTTTCAGTTCAAGAAAATTGTTTAGATTGAGAAGAGTTTTATTACGTCGGTATCGACGTCTACTTCTATTCACTTCTTTAGCTAGCATCACCAGGTAATACGGCCACGGCGACCGATATTGTTTAACTGGTTTATAAATACTACATCTATCCCACAGACTTTGCAAAAAAACTGAAAAGTGAGTGAAGAAAAATTGTTCATCATAGTTGTAAACAAGAGCTAGCCAATATTCATATACACAATTAAGAAAAAACTTGAGTATATTCCAATTTGTTTTCCTAAATACTGCGGAATCAGAGACATTTAGTGGTGTTTGTATTAGTACAGGGAAGTGATCAGAGGTTCCTTCATCTAATACTTCTGTTTGCCAACCCATGGCGTTATGCGTGATGCCAAAATCAATTATGGCATCCGACCTGCGTGAGGTCGGTTTATCTGGTATAATCATTTCATTCCCCGTTTCCTCTAACCATGTGGCCATACGGTTACCGCTTACGTTGCTCGTTGCACATTTCCAATCTTCGTGTTTCGCATTAAAATCACCAAAAATACAAAAAGATTTGTTTCTACACTTCGTAAACAGATGGAAAGGGGGAACCGTTCCAGGTGGAACATAAACAGCACCTACTAATGTTGGTACAGGTTTTGTTTCAATTTCAACCATTAGAAAATTCAAATCTCGAGCTACTTCTTTATATTTGATAGAGTGATGAATTAATAAACCTACACCTCCGAATGAATTTGTTCCCTCTTGTACTAGCAAGTGGTAACCAGGAAACTGTGGAGGCTTTTTCATTGCTGCTTTACCTATTTCTGTTAAAATGCAAACTTTCGGTGCATGGCTAGAGATGATTATGTCCATATCAGCAATATGACTGCTTAGAGAGTTTACATTCTATAGTAAAAAAACAAGGTTAGAGTCCATGATTTTTGGTTTACCTTTAGTCCATCTTTTAAATAAATCAGTTGTACAGGATCTTGTATTCCATTCATAAATAATTTGTCTTAATTCATGTTTTTCTCTACTAGTACCAATAAATGAATCAATAAGCATATCATCAATATAAGGCATATAATATCTAAATGTAGGATTATCCATTATGAATATGCAGCTTTTCCGTTGCATCCATAATCTTCATTGTAATTTCATCAATTAATGGTGAATAAGCAGAGAAAAACTTGTTAATAGATGTTTGTCGATCTTATAAAGGTATAGCAGATATTTGTTGAATCATATCTTTATATTGTTGTTCACCGGTTTTATCTAATAATAAACATAATGCTTGATTTGTAATTTTAATAATTTCAAGACATTCATTTAATGAAGTTTTTAATACGTAAATCATTTCATTTTGACGTTGAATTGTTGACGAGAAGCAGTTCATTAATGATTGAACCTGGTTTAAACACATATTAATTTTTGTTGTTGTATCATTAAATCTTCTATCATATTCTTGTTTTGCTTCATTGCAATCTTTTTCAATACGAGCTAAAAAATCTTTAAGATTCAGCTGGTCCTTTACATTTAAATTCTGATGATTTAGATTAGCATTAGGTTCATAAATAGTTGATTTTGATGATAGCGAAGGCCAAACAGGAACAGGATTAATTTTTGACGATTTATAATAATAATAATCTTGATTTTTATCCATCATACGTTTACCTAATACTTTACCACCCTCTTGACGAAAGTTGGAGGGAATAAAGATCTGAGTATCATTTGGAAATACTTCTGGATGTAGACGGAGATATTGAATAAGTTCTTTACGATATGAATGAACCAAGGGACATCTAAAGTCCGTAGCAACATGATCACCCTGACAATTATGACAGGTTATTTTACATTCTTTATGTTCACCCGTTTTCCTATTACCACCACAACGTTTACATCGTTCATATGATAACTTACAATTTCTTTTTGTATGGCCCGGGAGATTACACATAGAGCAGAACATAATTCGAGGTGGAGCAAGATATTCATGTACGTGCAAACATTGTCCATCAATACAAATAACACCAGCATTCAGAATCTGTTTGTACTCCAAATGATTCAATAAGTCAATTCTTATAAATCTTGTCCTACCATTATTGGTTCCTAACACCTCATCGACAAAATAAATAGATTTAAATTTATTCTTAATTTCCACTTTCATATCATCTAAACTTGATGAGATAGGAACATTTTTAATTATCACCGACCTCTGTGGAGGTAGGTTTCTCGGTTTCGTAATGTAAATAATCGTATTTTCAATCTTACTTGGAACATGATTATCATCACAAAGATAAACAAATAATTCAATATCATTTGTAATACAACAAATATCACCTTTAAAATCAATGTACCAACTATCAAAACCAATTAAATCATTATGTCTAGGATTAACACCTTTAAAATCATGTTCAATCGATTTAATTAAACCTTTAATAATAACACCACCTTCTTTTTGATTACCTATTTTAGGTTCACAAATAATTTTAATCGGGGGTAGGTGTTGATTAATTGCATAATCAATAGCACTCCTTGAAAAATTAAAAATGGATGAATCATTATCATTGTTAATGTTCTTCTTATTATTATTGTTGCTTGATTGGAAGTTCACATCGTCCATTCTTAAATTTGAATTTGAATCATTGTTATCTGTAGTTGTCGCACTACGTATCGAATTGATAAATGTACGTGTATTTTTTTGAACAGATTTTGAACGTTTTGGAGTACCTTTTCTAGTAACATGACGTTCATAATCATCATCAGTTGGTGTACGACCACGTTTACCACCTTGATCAGTATCACTTGGAGAATTTAAATTTTGATATTCCATATTAATTTTCTTCAAAAACGTTAATTCAACATCACGTTTGTCGGCCCTAATTACACCTTCAGAAGTATGATAATGACCTGACCTCGGGTCCTTGTTTGACATGTTCAACAAGCAAACCAGTAAATAAAAAAAAATTAGTGATTACCTGTTGATTGACAATTGGTGAGTCACGTGTGTATACACGTGTCTCTTATATATAGAATCGATTACTAAGAAAAAGGAGAACGAAAAAAAAGTGCGTCCTATCAGTACAAATACGAATAGGCAAGTGATTTATTGCTTTTGCTCGAAAGCAATCTTTTTACTTTTCTTCTTTATCTATATTTTGTTTTATTTAATATTTAATTGTAACACAGAAGATAACAGAGGGGTGTGAATCTGATGAGCTCTTCTTGTTAGCTCATACCTAAATGCTTTAAGGATTTAGTAGATGCGTTCATTGAATATTAAAAGATTTATCTCATTGAATTAGTTTTCTTTATTAGAATTTTTTTCTTTTACTGTTCTACTAATATTTTTGTTTATCAATGAGAATTTTGATAAAAATTAATAGACGAATCAATTGAATACATTAAGTTTGTATCAATTAATATTATACGGTTTTTACCATTTATATAAGTCGAATCAATAGTAAAAAAGAATAGAGTTGATGATTACGAAGATGATATAAAAATTCAATTATGTATTATAGAAAGTTTTTATGGAAGAATAATTTTAATTTAGACATATATATGTATTGATCTATCATAAACTTCTCTTTTTGTATAGCTTATATTGTACACATTTTTCTCTGACGAAAATCACACAACTCATTTAATAATAAAATTCAATACTGTTATTTTTGTTTTTTTTTTCTACTGTATAACAATTATATTTTGATTTACGTGATCTAACATATGAACACAAATGATGTTATTGAACACTGAAATCAAGTTCAACATGCTCTTGAAATAAATGTTTACAGAGATTATTGATATTGAAGTGAGGAACGTATTTATACGTTCAATCTCACTCACTCATTATTCCTAAAAGCACTCAACATTTCCATGGATCACATATTAATGTCATAAGTGTAGAGTTTTTGTGATACAAGTGCTAGAACAATGCATCAAAGGTATGAGATTCCTTCGAAACACTTCGAAAAAGACAAATTTCCAAATGATAAATCAATTATAAAAATAGCTAAGAATTCATTCGAAAGGTTTTTGTTCCATAAAAGTCAAAAATAAATATATTGATAACTATTCTTATATGACATTGAAAATAATTCATCATTTTACATCATTGAAAAAACTATTTTTTGTTTCATCGAAATAGTTTCGTTATTGATCTGAATTAGATTTACTTCAATAAAAAATATAGTAATGTGTTGAAACTTTTTCAAATTCGTATTACATATAGTTAGTTTCGGAAGAAATACCGATCAAATCCATCTTAATTTTTTACAATGAGAAAATATTTTTCGATTTTATCTTCTAATATTATTTATTGAAACATTTTTGAATAGAAACAATAGGATATTCTAGATTTTTTTTCTCTGTAATCGATTTAGACACGTTAAGTATATCAAATAGACCACAAAGTAGGATAGAATACAAGTAGTAATGAGTAAATTATCAGCTAAGGTGTAGATTGTTGGTGTCTATGAAAACAAGATCATCTACACGCACATCTTCATTATTCTGTTGTCTTAATTTTTGGTTTGAAGGAAATTGACATACTAAACTTGCATTATAATCTTTATTGAGTGGAGTTCAAGAACAAATGACAACATCAATGCAATTTTAATCATATAACTTTCAGCACCACTCAAAACTCCTTTACAAATATAACTCTAAAACTCTGTCTAGACGTGATATTCATTCTCTCTGAGTTTTGTTTCATTTTAAGTGCTTCACTTTTTGTTAAACTGGCCGTTATCTTTATTGTCAACAGAAAGCAAAATAAAAAGCAATTCATTACAAAAAAACTTAATAAATAATGTCATGCCTTGTTTTCTTTTTATGATGTCTAAGAGTTTCTCTTGTTCTCACCATATATTACCATAAGTGTTTGTATACATAGAAACAGGTCAATAGACATCATTGTTTGAAAATGTATGATGAATTTCTGTATTCCCATGTCTTTCATCCCGGCAATTTCCCGTCGGGATCCCACGAAAAATGTCGGGATCCCGACAAAAAATTACTGTCATATTAGTGCCTTGAGAAACCAAAGACAGTGGATCAACTCTCAACTTCATCCTTTTTTTTGTTTTTTTTGCCTTATTGTTGAATTTGAGCACTGTGTTATCGTGCCGAATCCAGTTTATTATGCACTAATTTTTATATTTTTTTTACGTGTTCAAAGCGTATAATAAGCAAGAAAATGGAGAAATAAGAGAAGAAAAAAAAGGTTTTATCACATTAATCATATAAGAACAGCAAAAATACAAAAAATAAATTAGTTGAGATCACATCAGTTATGTTGACATGTACATGTTCTCGTAGAAAAAATATATAAAGTTTTAGGTATGTGTTGATGGATTCGTTTGAACTGTAGTTTGTTGTTTTTTTAAACCCTTTTTAATATTCCGACGTTTGTTTAAAAATATTTCATGTAAATTACACCATTCAATTTGAAAAATATCATCTGATAATCGAAATTTATTTCGTACAGCTTCTAAAAAAATAGATGTGATAAGCAATATATGAGATTATTTCTGCTAAACAAACAAGATAAAATAAATTCTTAGTCAAACTTGTATTAATTTATAACCATCATTAAATTTGATTTTTGTTGCATCAAGTTGCAATAATTCTTCACGTGTAAAAATAATATCAATTAATGATGTTACATATAAATTCATCTTTTGTTTAACACCAGGTATTGATAATAAATCAACATCATTTCCATCATTTGGATTTTTACACATCTAAAAAATGAAAACAAATCTTATGAAAAATCAATTAGTATAAAAAAGGGCATGAAAAACATTTTTTTTCAGAAGTTCTTTCTTCACATGTTATTACTCTGTTTAAAGCTGTTTGAACGTACCATTATTGTTTCAAATGTTTTTTCTTCAACTGGTTGTTCTACATTGGGTTCTTCTAATGGTATATGTATCTAAATGGAAATAAATAAATATAATTCACACAGTAGAATAAGAATTTACTTACCCAAACCTCCAAACGGAATATCTGATAAGCTTGTAATTGTTGGTTTTTCTAAAAGTAAAAATAGAAGAAAAATATCGCAAATATCACGCTTCTGTGCAGAATGAAATCAGTATTCCTACTTGATTGTTGTTTAACAATTGTGGTGGTTTTTGTTTTCATTTTATTTTCTTGTTCTGGATTATAATCAGATTCAATATCTGTATTCATAGCTTTTCCTAATAATTTTTGTGCTTCATGTAATTCAGCCATTGTACCTATAGTAGAAAGAGAAATAGACAAAAGATAACTTTTCACACTTTTTAAAAAAAACTTCACGTTCATCTGATACCTTCTTTGAAAACCATTGCCAGACATTTTTTACTGCCACTTTGTACAGTAATTAATCCATCATGTTCTGAATTTGAACACTGTCTATTATTAACAATAGAAAATGTATTGTCACTTGGAAATATTACAAGTTT